TTTTCCTTTAAGAATCTTGTTTGCAAATTTTCAGCAAAATTTCACCTATGATAATACTAAATGGATCACTAATAAGTTAATTTGAATTTTATCAACTTCAATATGTTAAATAGTCAAATTTATTAAAAGTAGTATATTCGTCTCAACAAATTCAATATATTTTGTAGTTGTAAGAATCGGGTAGAACGGGGACGGTCACATGCAGATGAAGTGCACTATGACATGGTGAACTCTGATAAAACTCAAGTAAAGTTTCATCTCAATACTAATTGCTGGTAGGGGAAGTTGCCCACTAGCTAGAGTTATAAGTTAGACATATTTTTCATGTATAAAAGATATAAGACAACCTACAAGTGGTATTATATTCTAATAGTAGTCAAATTTATCAAAAGAGGTATATCATCTCACGAGACCGTAAATTTTAGTATATTGTATTTTTTATTTCTATTTTCTATGTAGATAATGAGAAAGTAAACTACAAACGTACTAAAAACGAACCTAACCCTAAAATCTCGTTACGTAAGAATGATATAAGAAGAAGTAGTCAAACCAAAATCTTTATGATAAACTGTCCATAAAGTTGATAATATGTAAATTGTTCACAGGTACACAGCTCATATCTTGTTTTCTCGAAATTTATGTAAAATGTTGTTGAATCTCTTCGCACAAGGCTCATATCTTGTTTTCTAGAAATTTATGTCCATTATCTGAAACAAGAATAGGTTGAATCCCATATCGACAACAAATATTAGTAAATAAGAACTTGACCTCTTTATCCTCGATCATGCGCGTCTTGGCTCTATCCACTTACTAAAGTAGTCAATGACAAATAGCAAAAACCTTCTTTGACCAACGTCTTGAGGCGAAAGTTCTACAATGTCCATCCCCCACTGAGCAAACGAAAAGGGTGATCTCAATAGAATCATTTTATCGACAAATTTATGTATCATCCGTCCATGCTATTGAAAACTTATACATTTCTTAGCCATCTCGTAAGCCATAGACATCATTATCGGCCAAAAAATATCTAGCCCTCAGCACCTTTCCTACTAAAGCTCGAGCTTTTAGGTGATCTCCACAACATCCCTCGTGCACTTTTTTAAGTACATTTTCTCCATCTGCATCAGACACACATCTTAAGTGTGGTCCTAGATATGACCTCTTGTGGAGCATCCCATCTTGAATAAAGAAACGCATGGCCCTACGTCCTTCCTTGTTAGTACGTAAATTAATTGCATTATACCGAGCTTTCTCCAACCATTTGCTCAAGGGACTACACCAATCTTCTATTTCTTCAACCTCCATGACTGGATCCAAAATACTTTAGCCCTTTTGCATAAGAGTGATTGATCGTAATCTAAATCAACCAATGAGGTCTCAACCTTTTACAACATGTATGCCATATAATTTTTCATTCGCGGGATATAAATGAGCCAACTCATTAAATTCTTTGGCCAAAGCATGTACCTTAACCAAATACTTTTGCTTTTGTTCCTCTTTAGCCTAATACTCACCCTGACTTATTCAACCACCAATTGTAAATCTAAAAGAACCACAACTTTCTCAGCTCTTGCCCCAAAAACTAAATGCATACCCTTGAGTAATGCCTCAAATTCGGATTCGTTATTCAAAACTCTAAATTATAACTTTATTAGAAAGTCCAAAGGCTTCTCCTCAAGTGTTACTACCAGAATATCGATACCAACTCCTGACACTGTTGAAGACTCATCCACATAAACCTCACACGTACCGACCTCTGCCTCAAGCGTTCCCGCCTGAATGAAGTCTATCAACACCTGAGCCTTTAAGGCTAGAAGAGATTCAAATTATATATTATATTCCCCTAGCTGCACATCCCATTTAACCATGTGTCATGATGATGAAAGTCGGCCCAAAGTTTCTTTGAGGGGAAAGTTTGTCCGTACTACGACTGTATGTGGTAGAAAATAAGGTAACAATTTTTGAGTTATGATTATAAGGGATATAGCTTATTTCTCCACTTCTTCATACTTTGCTCTTGTCCCTTGAAGAATCCAAATTACGTAATAGATTGGTCGCTGCGCACCATTCTTCATCAAGACTGAGCATATAAAATCTTTTCCAACTGATAAATACAACACCAAATCATCCATCGACTCAGGCTTGGTGAGCAATGAGAACACCTCTAAGAATGACTTAAGTCTTACAAATGATTCATGAGCTTGTTGAGACTATTCCAACCTTGAACCCTTCCGAGAGCTTGAAAAAAATAAAATAAATAAACTCATTTTAATCGCATAAGCATTAAAACGATGCAAGCCCACCAGACGACCTATAACCACCTGAACTTCTCGAATGGTCCTTGGTGGTTGCATATCCTAAACCTCATGTGTCCTTGTTGCTCTCCTTTATTATCCCATCCTCCCGACCTCCTCTAACTAGGTCTATGTTTCTCTTAGATATTCTCTGACTATATCACTTTATGAAAAATCCGCCTCTGCGTTCTTCTTGTTGATATATTTAGAGCAATGTTCCAATAGCTAATCATACGATCTCGCAGGCTTCTTAGCAAGTGAGTTCCGGCAGTGACCCAGCTGCATACCTCTTGTCAAACCTCCTGTCTTAATCTCCTCATTGGCTGATGGGACCTCCACACAAGCACATGCATACCTAGCAACATACTCTCTCAAGGATTTGTTCTCACTCTGCTGCATATTACTCAATGTGAGATAGTCTTTTTGTGCTTCTTTACACTCGAAAATTGATTAAAAAACTGTGAGTTAAACTCACCAAAGTTATATATAGACCCCGCAATCAACTGATGAAACCAATCTGTAGCAGTGCCTTTTAAAGTTGTTAAAAATGCTCTGCAACAGACCACATCATTGTACTGGTACAACACCGCTACCTTCTTGAGGTTGTGCAAAAGCCTAGCCGCATCGGTAGAAACTTTGTACACCATGCTTCGGTCTTGATGCTTCAGAGGTGAACCTATATCCAACACCTCATCATAGAAGGGGTGACGTTAAACCAGAGGTTGTCTTTTTCTTTATCCCTTCGCTTGGAGCTCCTTGATTTAGTTTGCCATTCGTTCTAAGGTCACGTCTTGTGGCAGCGTATTCACCATTGGGGATATGACTGGCCTTTCTTCTCCTTATTTTCATCTCTTATTCTCGAACACCAGCTGTTCCACAACCGGGCTAGGCAGGGGTTGCTCACCTTTAGTTTTCCGCTTCTGGTCCTCAAGCAGATCTTTATCAGCTTCTTGGGAACTCAGACTTTCATCCTACCTCCCCGCTCAATCTTTGGCTCACTAGTGACCACCATCATGTGTTGCTTTGATGAAACTCCCTTCTCTCTTCCATATACACGGACTTCCTTGCCCTATACTAGACCCGAGGTCACGGGTTCGACCTTAGGCGCCATGATGTGACTTACCCCCTCCCTGCCGCCCTCCTAAGCAAATTTTCCCTGAAAGTGACCACAACACCATCATCATTTGACCACCAGTCCAACTCCAAAAGGTGATTTGGTCCCCATGCCTCCTCCATGGTATCATTAAGGTTCTTTTTCCTGCCTTTGTCAACCATCGTATTCTCTTGCTTGAGCTCATCAGAAAATGGCAGGGAACTGGTAAATTACATTCCACTGACGACGCCGATTAACTTGTAATTTCTCCTCGAACCGGCTTCACGATGATCTTGAATCGATTAGATCTCCAGAATATCGTGCATAATCTGATGGGGATATTTCGGGCAGTAGACCTCTGACGATCAAGTCGTTCCTAGATTATGAAAGGTAATATGTGTGTGTATATTGAAAAGCCAAAGAGAGAAGAAGACTACTATTCCATACATGAGCCTATTTTATAATAGAAATTTACCTTGTTGCCCAATGTGTGCCCGTTCTTGCTGCCTAATCTTGTTGCCAAAGTATCTTTGTTCCCCAAATGTGCCTGAAGCTTATCCTAGTTGCCCAAGGTCTACCCAAAATTCACTCAAACATATCTTCAAGGCTATCCAGAATCTTCTCAGATAACTTTCAA